AACAGTCTCAGAACTCTCCAAACTATTCATAATGTGTCATCATGATGTTATGCTAACATCATTTATTGTCATATTAATTTTTCTTTTTTATCTCATTTTTTCCCCTTTTTTCTACACAACCACCGTGCCTCTTTATTCCAAACCGATGCCTCTGTACTCCATCAGCGTTTAAACCTGAATTCTCTCTAAACGATACACACACCCACCGAGTCATTTTCTATACTCTTTGTAGAAGTTTAGACCTTTCTATATATATATAGTACTTAAATTTTGTTGGCGATGAAATAGCTCATATAGCCCTAATACACTTCACTTATGAGTGATATAAAAAATATTTGAAACCTAAAGGTGATAAAGATTGCAGAGTAAGAACATGTTATAAAATAGGAAACACATTGTATTCAGTTGAGAACATAGAAACACTATAGGAATGGTACAATAATTTGGAGACATTAATGTGTTGTTCAGCACAGTAGTTTACTTGCATGCTATATTTTAATCTTTACATCTTTTTCAACCCTTTAATGAACTTATTAGACATGCATAGCTTTAGCTGGCCTACATATGCAAATGATTGCCTCAAATTCAAAAATATTATGCACTTTCATTTAGCAACATAACTCAACCACATACATGAACAGTGAACACAGTATCCACTTTATGAATGCAATAAATATCATTTGGGTTACAAAGGTTAACATCAATACCTCAAATGTGAGGCTCAACTTGAATTTATACTAATAAAATATCAAATACAACAATCTTACATTTAAATTACATAAAAAAAATAATAATAATAAAAAATACCTAAACTAAATTCATCTCAATTTGAATAAGCACACAGGACATAAAAATTCACACGCAACTAAATTAAACATCATAGGAAGCATCTATAATTAAAAAAAAAAAAAAAAAATAAAATTACACAACTCTTGACAATTTTATCAATAATGCTATGGTGATCGAATTTTTTAATATGACGACTGATCGACGCTGACAATGGGAGTGAGCCCACTTCTTTTTTGGACTTTTTTATTCGCAGGACCACCTACATGTGAGAGAATGTCAACCATTATGTCAAAAAAAATTCGGGCAAAGTTGTTTAATAGCAGTTTTATTGACCTTAAATTAAGAGAACATTAACTCAATGGTAAACAAAAACAAACCAAACTCAGATGTTGGAGAGTTAAGTGAGAGAAATTAAAGGCGGCTATGATAGCAGGGATTCATTTCTTGGTCCAAAGGATGATGAAGAATTGAAGGTGAGGGACCCTAAAGCCGTGACTGAGCAGAAGGAGGAGAGAAGCAAGGGACAGCAGATTGAGAAAGAGGAAGGAGCAGAGTTGGAGTGCGAGAGAGCTCAAATACTCGAAAATGATTCAGCAACAGTAGTGAAAGTTGGTACAAGTACCGAGGAGAATGTTATAAATAAGGTAAATGATTCAGAAGCTGGGACTACCCAGAAACATGTTGGAACTGTAGAAGAAAAAGTGATTCTAAGACCTAAATTAATCATAGAATGCAATCTACTCTTCAGCTGCATCAGAATTTTTTTGACAAATACACCATACAAAGTTCAATAAATCCATGCGATTTAAAATTACAGAACATAAACTACGCATAAAATAACTGAAAGAAATCACATTAAGTAGAAGAACAATTCAATAATCGCACAAATGAAAACTATTAAAAGGTGACAGAGTAGAGTTTGGTGTACCTTAAGAAATTATCTCCGATGTAATGCAAATAAAACTTTAGTATTAAAAGGGTGTTTTGTTGTTGATTTCTTGTAAAGCAATTAAAAATAACTTAATAGAAGGTAGTGCTAAATAATAAAATTATTTAGAATGAAATCAGTGGCGAATCCAGAATTCCCGACGGATCCAGATAGGGCGGCCACCACCTAGATCCCCCACTGAATGGGATTATACATTTTCAAAGCCCTGCAATGCAAGGTAGACCTGTAACCAAAAGAAGATAGCCAACGGAATAAAATGTTCTAAATTCCTGAAATTAAGAAATTCATCAACGATGATGAGAAAACCGAAGCAGGATCGAATTAGGATCATGGAATAAACTTTCAATAAATATAACTATAATAAGTTGGTAATAAATCATTAGTTTCCCCTTTTTCCTTTTCTTTCCTTTGTTTATCAATGATTCATTAGACAACTTCTCTTAAAAGTTCACTATATGTGCACAGATTATTAAAGTCTAAATATGATTTCATCACTTTATTCTTGATCCTTTTGAATCCATCGCCGTCCTTATCCATTCTTTTTTTTAATTGAATTTATCTTTATATTGGTTCATCATATTCTGGTATATCAAATAACAATTAGAAATCAAACCTAACAAAATAGTTTTTGTTACAATTTATCAACTTGAGAAGCCATAAATTATTAATGTACGAAAAAATTAAAAGTTTTTGTGAAAGGGAAAACATTGCAAGAAAGTAATATCACAGGATCTAGAAAATATTTAATAAACATGAAACTTCAACAAGAAGTTGATATGGGTCTATAAAATTACAATAACGTGCTCACATCAAAGCAAAACTAATAACTCGAAAGCTGAATAAAAGAATAAAATAAAATACATATAAACATCATTAAACGTGACATGTACAACCATAAGAAATGACAATCATTTCCTTAGTTTGCCGAGTCCTCATTCTTTCATTTAAAGTAGGTCTGTCGAAACAGTGCTGCCGAGAAATTAATCAAACCCTCCCAAAAATTAGACACAACTTATTTCAATTCATGAAAATTAACTATGAAAAAACGCACACGTGAACAGCAGATACAGATATTTAGGAATCCCAATTGGTTTTTCTCAGAATAGAAAATTCATGAACGATAGAAGTGACTCTTCGAGGAATCTGATGAATAATGATAAATTGCTCCTCTACGCAGCCAATCCTGGGAAGAAACGAAGGAAACTGAACTGAAAGAGTTCATGAGAGACAATACAATACAATACAACACAACAAATCGATCGTGGAGAAAAGAACCGAGGGAAATTCTGTGAGGTTTTGTTAGGGTTTTTATTGTCGAAAATAGGATCCGAAAGGATGAAAATGAGAAACGATGAAGTAACAAAAGTATCTGTTGACCCCAATAAATGTTGCCAACAGATATTGGACTCACCCACGCACATGTAAGCGAAAGTCCAACACGCTAAGACACGTGGAGGGTCTAAAAAGGACAGATCAAGGCCATGGGAGTAGTTCAACAACGCGGGACGAGAACGTTCTGAATCCGACGATATGATCGTAGATCGATTGTACAATAATTACCAATCGATGTTTGGAAGCGTATATTTGAATATGTATAAAATCATCTATGTTGCAGGATAATGAGAGAGAGTTGAGTAAAGTATAATTTCTTGTATTGATTCTTGCATTAGCCTTTGTATGGGGTACATAAGGAAGTATTTATAGTGTCACTAGTTAGATCGTGGCCTTTAGTACGAGGTACACGTGGCCTCATCCGGTTGAGTTACATGTCAAATTGTAGGTATCAGTCGCACCTAGCCCGTTATACATTTATTGATTGGTAGAGCCGCCTCTACTAGTGACAAGACTTAACAAGTACACTCATGACAAACGTCCTATTAATCATTCAAGTAAGATCTTTGTGCACAAGATCTTTTGGGAGAGGTGTCTATGAAAGATGTTGCTTTGTGCATCGGATGCTGCCACCTCGTCTACAGAGCTTCGGAAAATAGGGCATCGTCCACCTTCAAAGGGCCTCGGCATATGGGCTTTGGAAGCTCCTTATGAGGCCATGATAAGTGAGCCTCGATGTATATGGGCCTAGGCATCTGTGGACCTCGATTTGTGGGCCTCGGCTATTCAACTTACCTTGGATTGAGTGCCACGTGGTTCGGCATGAGTTGGCTGTGGGCCCTGGTGGGTTGCCCAAGTGTGCAAACACGTAACAATATCTTTTCTTTAAAATGATAACTTTTCTTTAAAAACTTGCCTCTGGTTCTTGCAAACCGTTCATATTTTTCCTAATCTTTTCATTCATCTTTGGAGCAAAAGTTCTAAAAGCTTAGACAAAAGTTTTTGTGTATGATTCTTGATTTTAAATTTAGAAATTTCTAAATTTTTAGATACGTCATTTCTAATCGTCGAGAGAAGTTCCTATGTTCTTCGGGATTGTTGAGATATGGTTGAAGAAGTTAGAAGTTCTTGTTAGTCAAGGTCTGTTTTGTTCATTCAAATAAACTCCTATGTTTTAGGAGAATTAGAGAGCCAGTCAAGTCTGTTGAGTCTGTTTTTAATTAGACCAAGTCCTTAGCCGATTCACCACAATCTCAGGGTTGTTGAGATGTGGTTGTGCAACTTTTGAAGTCCCTGTATTTGCAGTGGCTATTTAAAGCCAGTTCAATAATGTTAATAAGTAGAAATCATTCAGCTGAAAAACTTGTGGGCTTGTGCTTTTTCAACATTCTGGTATCAGAGCTTCGAAAGGGGCCTGAGTGGGAGAGAGATTAAACACTGTGTGTATGTGTGAGAGTAAAAGAAGAGCGAAACACTGAGAATTTAAATTAAAAAAAAAAGAGTGTGTGTGAAGTAGAAAAGTCCGAGAGAGTGTGCGGAAGAAGATAACTCCGAGAAAATGGCTAATGAAGGACAGAATTTGCTAAGCATCCCCAAATTTGATGGCGTCTATGATTACTGGAGTATGCTTATGAAAAACCTCCTCAGATCGAAAGAGTATTGGAACATCATAGATCCGGGATACACAGAGCCTTCTTCCACAACCATATTGACAGCCAACCAGACAAGAACTCTAGAATAACTGAAATTGAAAGATTTGAAGGCTAAGAACTATCTTCTACAGTCTATCAAAAAGTCCATTCTGAAGACTATTACTCAGAAAGAAACTGCCAAACAGCTATGGGACTCGATGAAGATCAAATATCAAGGTAATGATAGGGTTCAAAGGGCTCAACTCCAAATTCTTGACAGAGACTTTTAACTACTGGAGATGAAGCTCGGAGAATCAGTGACTGACTACCTTGGCAGAGTGATGGTTGTAGCAAAAGTAGCCCAAGCTCGGAACCAACCATGCCCTACCGACCAACCCCATAGTCAGACTTATGCTAGTCGTACTGAGCTTAATGATGGATCTAATATATTGGCCTCACTTCATGGAGAAAGAGAGGTCAGTGACCTGGGGGTAGGCGACTCAATCAATAGGAATTCTCTCTGGAATGCTTAGGCCAATACCAAGAACTCCTACTCGTACGAGAGCAGTAGCCACGGTAATGCCTTCAACACCGGTTATTCCCACAGCTGATTCTATTCCTTCTATTCTTCGTTTCAAAAGAGTCCCCACTGAGATGTAGTATGTGTTGGCCCGCCCTTGCTTGGGCATAGTTTTGTGGAGAAGACATGCCGGATGTAAAGATTGTTGAGAAGATTCTGCGGACACTCACAAAAAGATTCAACTACATCGTGTGCTCAATTGAAGAATCAAAGGATATTGATCATCTCATTGTTGATCAATTGTAGAGTTCCTTGCTTGTACATGAACAAAAATTCAGAAAGGTTGGAGGAGATGAGCAAGCACTAAAAGTGTCATACGAGGACAAAACAGGAAGACAAGGGAGAGCACGAGGAGGCTTTAGAGGCAGTGGAGTTATGAGAGGCAGAGGCAGAGGTAGAGGTCTGAACAAAGTAACCATTGAGTGTTTTAAGTGCCATTAGTTGGGGCACTTTCAGTATGAATGTCCGCAATGGGAAAAGGCTGCCAATTATGCTGAAATAGATGAGGATGAAAAACTGCTTCTAATGGCTTTTGTGGAAGAGAACAAATCAAGTAGAGAAGGGGTGTGGTTCCTTGATTCAGGCTGCAGCAATCATATGACAAGGAACAAACAGTGGTTCACTGAATTCGACAAAGATTACAGGCACTCTGTGACGGTTGGAAACAACATGAGAATGGCTATGATGGGCAAGGGCTGTGTTAAAATACAAGTTGGAGATGCCAAGTAGGTAGTTTCTGATGTCTATTATATTATTGAATTGGAGAATAATTTGCTCAGCATAGGTCAACTGCAAGAGAAAGGTCTAGCTATTCTGATTCAAGATGGATCTTGCAAAGTCTATCATACGACAAGGGGTCTTATCATGTAGACACAGATGACAACAAATCGTATGTTTGTGGTGCTTGCACATGTAGCTGCCCAACAATCAAATTGTCTCAACACTACCACAGAGGACATCACTGAGCTGTGGCATCAAAGGTATGGCCACTTGACTCATAAGAATCTCTGTACCTTGCGATACACGAATTTAGTGAAAGGACCACCTCAACTTAAGCCTACAAACAATGTATGTACAAGCTGCATGGTTGGAAAACAACAAAGAGATGCCATACCTAAGAAAAGCAAATGGAGAGCTTCGAAAAGGCTTCAGCTTATATATGCTGACTTGTGTGGTCCCATAACTCCAGCTTCAAACAGTGGAAATAGGTACATATTAAGTTTTATTGATGACTATAACAGGAGGATATAAGTGTATTTTCTTGTTGAAAAGATTGAGGCTTTTGCAATGTTTAAAGTATTTTAAAACTTTGTTGAAAATGAGATAGGATTGTATATTTGTTGCTTGAGAACAGATAGAGGTGGTGAGTTCATCTCAAAATATTTCAATGAGTTTTGTACTACTCATGGCATAAAAAGGCAACTTACAGTAGCGTACACACCCCAGCAAAATGGAGTAGCAGAGCGTAACAATCGTACTATAATGAATATGGTACGATGCTTATTCATAGAGAAGAAGATACCAAAGTCATTTTGGCCATAAGCTGTGAGATGGACAGTCCATGTTCTTAACAGAAGTCCTACAGTAGCTGTGAAGAACAAGACATCGGAAGAAAGCTGGAGTGGCGTGAAGCCGAATGTTGATTATTTCAGAGTGTTCGGATGCATAGGCCATGAGCATGTTCCAGATGTCAAGAGAACAAAACTTGAAGACAAAAGCTTCAAAGCCATTTTGCTCGGTGTCAGTGAAGAGTCCAAGGCTTATAGGCTCTTCGATCCCATTACAAAGAAGGTAATGACCAGTAGAGATGTTGTGTTTGATGAGAGCAGTTGTTGGGATTGAAGTGAAAAAGGAACTGATCTGAAAGTGCTTACTTGGGGCGAGAATGAAGAACAAGAAAGTACAGCAGAAGAAGAAGGTGACAATGAAGCGGATGAAGAGCAGAATAGAGCTGAAGCTGGGAGTAATGAAGCAAGTCCTAATAGCAACATACACGTGAAAGTTCACCAGAAGAAGCAATTCAAGAAAGAAGAGTTACAAGGCATCCAACATGGATGAGAGACTTGAAAGCGGGGAAGGTTTGTCTGAAGAAGAAGACTTACAAAACTTTACTATGTTTGCTTCTAATGAGGATCCTACAAGTTATGAAGAGGCTGCATTGAGTCTTAAATGGAGAAAAGCAATGGATGTGGAAATTGCAGCCATAGTGAAAAACAAAACTTGGGAGCCAATGGACTTACCTATGGGAGCAAAGAAGATTTGTGTGAAATGGGTATATAAAACAAAGCTTGATGAAAATGGGACGTTTGAAAAGTGTAAAGCACAGTTCGTGGCAAAGGGCTATGCACAAAAGCATGGGATAGATTTTAGTGAGGTTTTTGCTCCAGTGGCTCGTTGGGACACAATCAGAATGGTGTTAGCATTGGCAGCTCAAAGAGGATGGATCGTGTTTCAGCTTGATGTTAAAAGCGCCTTCTTGTATGGTGAATTAAGTGAAGATGTTTATGTGGATCAGCCTCTTGGTTACATGAAGGAAAGTGAAAAAGACAAAGTTTATAAACTCAAAAAGGCACTTTATGGCTTACGACAGGCACCAAAGGCATGGTATAGCAAGATTGAAGGCTACTTTGAGTCAAGCTTCAAGAAATGCAGCTATGAGCACACACTTTTTGTAAAAGTCGAAGAAAAAGGTAAAATTTTGATCATAAGTCTTTATGTTGACGATCTTATTTTTATTGGAAATGATTTTGTTATGATCGAGAATTTTAAGAATTCGATGATGCATAAGTTTGAAAAGACGGATTTGAGAGAAATGAAATACTTTCTGGGAGTTGAGGTTAAGCAAGGAGCAAGAAGGATACATTTGTGTCAAAGTAAATATGCTAAGGAAGTGCTCGACAGATTCAGAATCACAGACAGTAATCTTGTGAGAAATCCAATTGTGCCAAATTCAAAATTGTCAAAAGAAGGATGTGGAGCTAAGGTTGATGGAACTTGATATAAGCAACTTGTTGGCAGCGTTATGTATCTAACCGCCACTAGACCAGATCTCATGTATATAGTATGTCTCAACAGTCGGTTTATGGCTCATCCAAAAGAAGCACATTGGGCAGCAGCTAAAAGGGTTCTGCGTTATTTTAGAGGAACTGTCGATATGAGAATATACTATAGAAGAGAAATGCTTGATGATTTGGTGGGATATTGTGATAGTGATTATGCTGGCGATGTTGATGTTTCTCGGAGTACAACTGGTTTCGTATTCATGTTGAGTGCCGGAGCAGTATCCTAGTCTTCGCAAAAATAGCCTATTGTAACATTGTCAACTATGGAAGCGAAGTATGTTGTTGTTGCAGCTTGCGCCTGTCAATGTGTCTGGATGCAGAGAGTTCTTAATAATATTGGCCATGATCATTGTAAGTATGTTACTTTATTTTTTGACAATACTTCTACAATCAAATTAGCCAAGAATCCTATGTTTCATGGTAGGAGCAAACACATCAATGTGAGATTCCATTTCGTTCGAGATCTTATAAAGGATGGTGTTGTGAAACTTGAATTTTGTGGGAGTAGTGAGCAGCTCGCGGACATATTAACAAAACCCCAGAAGCTAGAAGCATTTGAAAGACTTCGAAAAATGCTTGGAGTTGTGGCCAAAAAGGAAGTAAACTGAACTGCTCTCAGCAGCTTCTGTTTAGGGGAAGGATTGTTGAGATATGGTTGAAGAAATTAGAAGTTCTTGTTAGTCAAGATTTGTTTTGTTCATTCAAATAAACTCCCATGTTTTAGGAGAATTAGAGAGTTAGTCAAGTCTGTTGAGTTTGTTTTTAATTAGACCAAGTCCCTAGCCGATTCACCACAATCTCAGGGTTGTTGAGATGTGGTTGTGCAACTTTTGAAGTCCCAGTATTTGCAGTGGCTATTTAAAGCCAGTTCAATAATGTTAATAAGTAGAAATCATTCAGCTGAAAAACTTGTGGGCTTGTGATTTTTCAACAGGGATAACGAGGTTTGCAGATTTTGGATGGAAATTAGCTTCAAATCAACATTACGAGGAATGTGCACTAAATGAATATTCTTTATTTGTTTAAATCATTTTGTGTTGTTCAATAGTTGGACATGACCCTTTGCATGTACGCAATAGCTAAACTACGTCAAATTAATTATGTGATAATTAATATTTTTACTTATCCATTAAAGTAATTAGTTTGAGACTAATTAAATTATTTAACGTTGGTAAATTACTATAAACAGATCTTACCGCAGTTATGATAAATCAAAGCTTAAACACACAAAAACATTTAAAATAATAATAATAATAATTGAAACTATTTTTCATGACAAGGCCATTTCTATATTGTATTAATTATTTTCAAATGGCCACAATCAGCCAACTAATGCCTCATATATTGGAAATGATATTTACAAGTAGTAGAATTTATCCAGTCCGTATTCCAAGCACAAAACCGTTTGGTCAAATATTTTATATAATTTTATTTTTTTCATCACTATATTTTGATGATTTGTAGTATTTGTTAGAGAACTAATATTTGAATGCTATCCTTGTCATTGTTTAACACGACAAATTATTCTCTCTTGTTTAATCACTAAGTAACTACACTATACATGATAACACGTCCTTGTTTTGATCAAAGCCAACCGAATGTCAATTGATCAAATATATATATATATATATATATATATCTTAGCAAAGAAAGAACTTTCAAAAGCTCCATTCCAAAGGCCAAAGTTCAAACTAATTCTTGCATTGTAGTCGAAGAACGAAATTTCAACAATCAAGTTAGAGTATACTTGGCAAAGCTTAAGTTATAATTCAAGTTGATCAAACATACTTTCAAATTTCGCAAGATTTAAAACTCACTATTCACTTATTATTAACGAGGAACAAAAGTAAAAGTTCACAAAAAATGGTAAAAAGTAATAGTCTTCAATTGCTGCCATCAGTGTCAATTTCCCTTTACTTAATATGCCATCGTTTAGAAAATAGAAAGGAAAAATTTCATACCTAAGATGATAACCGTTACCCATTTCAAAAGTAAGAATACAAGTTTCAAATTTCAAAAATCAGATATTCATTAAAATTTATTTATAATTTAATTAATTAATTATATATTTTATTAATTAAATATATTAAGGTCATGGATCTATATAATTTGGTCACAGATTCACAATTTAATTAGTCACACACACACACACACACACACATATATATATCACAAATCAGAAATTTTTAATGTGACAAATTATTTTACGGTCACAATTCAAAACTTTTGTAGATCAAAATTTGTTCATCGGTCACAGATAAAAAATTTATACATCACAATTTATTTATAGGTCACAGATTACAAATCTTATAGGTATTTATTTTTTAGGTCACACATTATTTTTTTGTCACAATTTATTTTTCTTATTTGTTACATTGGTCACGGGGTAATCAATTTAATGGTTATAATTAACCAATTAATCTGTGACTATCACCAAACAACCACTACCTCCAACATCAGCAACACAACTATCATAGCCAGAACCACCACCACCATCACCCTACAGCAACACACCACCATCTCTAACAAAATCAACACATCACGCCACACCATCACCTTGCAGCGACACCCCCACACCACCGCCACACCACTACCCCCCCCTCCTACATGCTCTAATCAAGGCCAAAATTTTTGATTTCAAATTGAATTCTCAATCTATGTTAAGCTCCCTCCATTTCTTATCAATGTCAGATCTGAAACCAAAACCATCAATTATGTTGAACACCACAAAGATCTTTGTTGTTAGTCTCCACTAGTCGCCTTGTTGCTTGCCACCACCTATCGTTGTCGAACGAGGTACGTGTCGGA